TTAATCGACATCTTCGGCCGCCTAGGTAGAGACTCTATCTCATGAGCCTGACATGTTTCTGGCGCTCGTCAAGGTCCGCTAAGCTGGGGAACCGGGCGGGGAGCCGAGGCTCGAACACCCGCAGAACGCGCGGGCCGGGTACACCCGCCGGCAGCCTCCCCGCTCCCAGGAGGAGGAACCCCTTCAAAAATGGGAGCATCGCTCTCCCAGGGTTAAACAGTCACAGAAGCCTCAAGCCGCCGGAATTGGGGTTTAATTTTGTCCTTCCAAGGGCTTGGAACGAAATGGGCCTGGAGAGGGAAAGAGGTTTCCACCCGGCCTCCTCTTAATGGGCGTCCCGTCCGCACTCGAGCGCGCGTCGCGCCTATCCTTGCGGGAAAAGTCCCTGCCACCACTCTAAAGGGCGACGAAGGGGTCGCAGACCGGGCTAATTCCAGCTCAGTCGGACCTAGGAGCTACCTGAGAGAATAAGCTCCTAAAACCGGCGCAAACCCCTGGGCGGATGGAGGGAAAGGGCCAAGGCGCAGGAACGCCTATTGCGCCGTGCGTCGGATAGAGAGGTGGTCCCTCCTTTGGCCCCTTCTTGGCTGCGACCTTTACCCATGGCTGCGGGACGTGGTGCGCGGAAAGCCGACTCCCCGCGGAGGGCAGCCCTGTCCATATCTGTCGCCACCGGCAAGCCCGGCAAAACCCAGAGCACGCCCGGGATTCCCCGGCAAGTGCCGAGGATCGTGCGCGGCGCGCGGGTGCGCAGCAAACGCTCATTTAAATAATCCGTCGGCTGTTCCCCGGGCTACCCAGGCCTCCGTCTGCCTGCGAGGCGAGGAGCCCTGCCCCGGTCGCAGCGAGGTCGTGCGGGTCGCACTCTCAGACCCTAGGACGCCATTCCCGCCCAGCCCTGCGCAGCCCCGCCTAGCTCTGGTTTGCCGTGAGCCCGGACCTCCGCCAAGCACGGAAATCAACTCAAGTTAGGATCTGCTTCTTCTCAGTCCCGACTTTACGACTTCATGGACACTGGGGACCGCTCATTATAGACCTTTGCCCCTCACCTGCTGCACCTGCGTGCTCCGTGTCCGGCTTTAACAGTTAGTTCTGCATGCTGAGCGCCCTGGGATCGCGGCTTCCCAAACTTCCCTCGGTGCTCACGACCCTCTCCGATCTCAAGGCCATGGAAAAGAGGAGGCTGGAGCCCTCTCGCCCCTTGGGAGTCCTCGGCCATCCGCTGTCCCAAGCGGGGCGCTGCCGCGCACACCCGACTTTCTCCAAATTCCCTTCTACGTGGTACTCAGCTCAGATCGGGGGCTGAGACGGGATCCTAGCAGTTAGGACATCGGAACCCCCAACTTATCAGGCCCAAATCGGCCGGCGGGGACAGTCGGCCTCGTCTGTAAAAACTGTCTTGCGCCTGAGAATATTCTTGTGATGGTCTATGGTGCCCACGGCTGTTGTATCCGAATGTTGGGAATATGATAGAATCTCAATCGATTTCGTGTGTGTGTGTGTGTGTGTGTGTGTGTGTGTGTGTGTGTTTCTAGAACAAGGAGACAAAGCCAGAAAGGAAAGAAGAGCGAACAGCACGAGCGTCTGAGCGGGCTCCTGGCTTGGGCAGTGAATCCATCCCACTCCCTTAAGGAATTGCCTGCAAAAAGGACAGTCAACAACCCCAGGGGCTCGGATCCATGAGGCAACCTGCGCTGGGACATTTACGCCCAAGCACCCAGGAGTAGCCCCAGGAGGGGAAGTTCCAGAGAAGTCCTTCACCCGACCCTACCAAACACAAAATAAAATACCCTCTTCCTACAGCCTCGGGGTTCGCCAGAGCTTGTCGGAAGCATTTTAGAAGACAAGGAAGGGGACAGAGACCCCTGGGCCTGCATTTCATTTTCCACCCCCAGCCGATACCCCACGAGGCTCCTCCTCCTCCCATGGGGGCTGCCCTCTCCCCCACCAGCGAGCCGGGCCACGGGCGTCCTTTCCCTCGGTGCTTGGGGAGACTACGTGGCCGATGGGTCAAAAATCAAAGCACATAAAACACCCCACCTTCCTATAAGCCCCACGCTTTTCGTTTTTCGGCGTCTCCTCAGCGGGCACGGCCGGTCAGCAGGGCCCGGACAAGGGGAGGAGACTGCTGAGGTCCAGGGGGAGAGTTTTGGAAGGGTTTCAAGGCGGCTCTCACCACAACCCCAGCGGCCCCGGGTCAGGCACTCGGATCTTGATGTCCCTACAGCCCGGAAGGCAGCGGGGACGTGCTGTCGGTGTTGGCTGTAGGGACAGCTGTAGGGCTGTCGGAGTAACGAGGCCCGCACTTCGAGCCATCACGCGCCCAAGGTGCGGTAAAACACCAGGAGGGCAAAGCGCAAATGGCGAGTCGGCACGGGAGCCTGCGGAGCGGGAGGCGGGGACAGAGTGGCAAGGAAAAGGCCAAGTCTGGAACAAGACTAGCGAAGAGAAAAAAATTATTACATCAGTTTTCCTAAAGAGGATGCACCTCACCCATCCCTAGATAAGCATGAGAATAGTCCAGCTGCCACCAAAATAAGCTGAATTTAAATCGCTTCTTCTAAAATGCCCCTCGAGGGGAGGGCACGAGAGGCACGGAGCTTGGAGACACCTAGACCTGCGCCCCCAGGCGCTCCATTCGTGGTGACTCCGCGTGATGAAGAAGCCAACATGTCGGTGTTGAGGAGAAAACCCGAAGCCTTCTAGGTGGGGACTGCAGGGCCCCTGTGGGAGAGCCTTTGTCTCCCCTCTCCTAGGGTTTAAGAGCCTACTGTTCCGGGAGGCCCAAGGGTGCGCCCCACAACCCCTCCTGCTCCCCCCCTTCTTAGGCCACTGGGCCTAATCCCAAGATAGCTAATGGTTGTGTATATGTGGGTGAGGGGACCATGCTCCACCTACCCCCTGGTCCCAGCACCTACAGCAACAGCCAGTGGCCAGATCTGCTGCAAGGGAAGGTACAACCCACTCACATTCCAAGAGGAAATAAAAGGTGGATCCGGAAATCTTCAGGGAACAGTCCCCTCAATTTTGGCCGATGCCTCCTCCGACCAAGGCCACAAAGCCCGGACAAAAGAGAGGACTGACCACCCCCCTAGGTCAGGCTTTGCCTCAATGGGCCATGCATACCTCAAGTTCCTTTGTGTGCCTCAAGTTTTCCACAGTGTGACCTAGACTCAGCCTTGGCAAACTGCAGCTCTGAGTTCTGGGCATTTTGGGAAAGCGACTCCCTGACAGGGAACATCAAAGTTCTCTCTAAACAACAGAAGCCAAGTGTCACTCATCAGGTCACTCATCACAAGAAAGGCCGTCAGAGCAGAGACCATCGTTCTTCATCTCGGTCCCAACAGGTCACCTACGGACCACAGCCACAAGAGCACAAGCCTACTGGGTACGAAAGACACTAGTAACACACACACACTTCCCCCTCTCACGCAAGCTCCTCACTCTCGAGGAGCTACAAGCAGCTTAAGGACTCAGTGCACCTTTGCCAGGGTTTCTGTTTGTGCAAGGACTGAGAACCCACTCTGTCCCTACCTGTGTGCGGGGATGCCTTCTATAGAAACCTCTTAGTAAACTCCCTAAGGCTCAGCACAGACGTGGAACTGTTTGCCAGCAGTTGACACAAACACACACAAAGAATAACTATAGAATACAGCCAAGAAACGATCTAAATAGGCTTGGATCAAGCTATCCTTTTCTAGTCCCTTCTCAAAAACTTCCCAGGGAAGCCCAGGATACGCGCTCTTCAGCCTGCCCTCCGAGGTCTCGCCGGACAGAAATCCTGCCATGGAGAGCGGAGGCGCAGGAGGGCGCGCTCGTGCGTCCTAGTTTGTAGGTAGTTACCATCCCTGGGTGAGCCGGCCCTTACTTAAAAGTAAACCCCGAAGACCTAGCTACCGCACCACAAAAGAAGTCGACGGCAGAGCGAGGGACTCTTTGGTCTCTCCGGGGTGCCCGGGGCGCCCTGCTGAGCGTGCGAGCCACCGGGCAGGACTCTCCCGGTGCTTGGCGCTCGCCTTGCGCGCGAGACAATTTGGCACCTGTTCTGGCCTCCGCACATATTCTCTCTCGCGGACTCTCGGCTCAGGAGTGAGGGACAGAGACGGATTCCCTCCGGAAAATCTCTGCGCGCGCATACCCATACACATAGACTTGGGGATAAACACACTCCGAGCTCCCGCCGCCTAGCTAATTTCGGGCGAGGGAAGAAAGCAGGAGGGCAGACCAGCAAAGCGCGCACACACTCCCATCTCTACCCCTCCAAACCAGAACCATCCTGAGCACCTGCCCTCGAGGGCGCAAAGGCAGAACCCGGAATTGACAACTTCGCGCGGGTGCTTCTCCCTCCCCTGCATTCCTCGGCTAGCTGGAATGCAACGAGCAGATTCCCTCGTGAGCAGATTCCCTCATCAGGAGCAGTCCGTCCCCGGCGGCGCACACGGCGGGTGCCGCCGGCACTAGCGGCTGGGGATGCACCGGCGTGCACGCCCGGGGCGCGGGCCGCAGGGACTAAGAGTGTGGCTGGGGCTTCTCTGCCGCCAGCCTCGGGGGCGAGAGACACACTCTCCAACTTCCGCCAGCTAGGGTGAAGTTGCACTAGCGGTCCCGCGAGAGTTAACCATCCAGATGGGGAAAGAAGATTTGGGGGGACCACCCTCGCTCTCAGGCCTGGCCTACAGCTCGTACCCCTGGGTGTCCCCAAACAGCACTCTCCCCAGTGTTCCAAGGAAAGCCACAGGCTGGAGATGCAGGGTTCCGTACTCGGTACCCAGCTCGCCTCAAGCATGATCCAGGAGGCAATTACATTCGGCCCCAAAAAGCCAAGAGCCTGGCCCCTCAAACGCACTCTGGCCGGCGCCCCAGCCCTGTGACCGCCTCTGCGCCCCGGCTGCCGGCCCCTCCCGGCCAGGGCCACCAGCGGCGTCCGGCCCGCCCCGCAGCTGCTGAGGCTGCTACCTGTCTTGTTAGAATTAAATCAGCGAGAAAGGTGGGTGTCTTACGTTGCATCGGCACACCTAGCATCTCCGGGAGCCCCTTGACAGCCCCCTCCGCGGGGGCAGTCGCACTCTGCATCATCTCGGAGCGAGAGCCAGCGAGTCGCAGTCTACGGAGATCTCTCACTCTCTCGCTCTAGCTCGATTCAGAAATTTCAAAATAATAATGAAAACCCCAAGCAGGCCGCCGGAGTCGCGGTGGAATCCGGGCCCTCCGCCTCTCCGGGAGGACTCCACAGGCTGGCTGGCCGGCCCCCTCCCCCCGTCAGTCCCCAGTCTGTTTCCAGTCCCTTTGATCTCGCTCTCCGGGGTTGGTGCACATCCCAGGTTGAGACGCTGTTGCTGCAGCTCTGGCTTTTTTCCTCTCGTCCCTCCCCCGCCCGCTCCTTCCCCCTCCCCCTCCACCCTTCGCGTGCCGGCCGCCCAGGAGGCCGCGGTCACCCGGGCGTTTTGATTCATTCACACTGCAGGAGCGGCCGTGACGTCGCTTTCCGCAGGGAGGCCCGCCCTTCGGCACATCCCCCTACCCGGCGGCGGGCCGCCGACCCCGGCGGAACTGGGGGTCCCGGTGCCCCAAGTGAGGCCGGGGGGCGGGACGGCAGGGAGCGGGGCGGGGCCTCGCAGGCCTGCACCCCCGCCTCCGCTCAGCCGTGCGGGCTCGCGCCCCGGGTATAAATCCTGCGGCTGGCCCGCCGCGGCAGCAGGTGGTCGGAGACGGCGGCGCCCGGGGCTTGCGGGTCTCCGCGGGTTCCAAACTCGCGCGGCTCGTGTCCTCCTTACTCCTCCGTTCGGTCCCGTGGTGGGGCGGGGCAGTGGCCGGGGCCGGGCGGGGCAGGCGGTCGGGAGGCCGGGAGGCCGGGGCCGCGTCTCCCTGTCTTCCTCTTGCGCGCTCTCGGGCCCCGGCTTCTCTCCGCCGGACGGAGCGCGCTCCGTAACCGGATGACTACAGCCATCTTCCTCCTCCTCTTCTTCCCTGGCCAATTCCTTACCCGCCGGCACTTCCCAGCCCCTACTCTCTCCCCCGCGTCTGGCTGAGGCTGGGCCAGGGACAACCCGTACTCGGCTCGGAACGCGCGAGTCACGCGGCTGGCTGCGGCGGCCCGGGCAGGGACAGGCGGCCAGGGGCCGTGCGCGGAGGTGGCGGGGCGCAGGCCCCCCGCGCGCCCCCGCGGACTGCAGCCGGAGTCCGCGCTTGCCTCGCGCTCTGCCGGGCAGGGGCCCCAAGCCAAACGGCGGCGGGGTCTCCCCGGCAGCCCCGCCACCAGCCGCCCAGCTCGGCCCTTTCCTGCGTCCCCACATCCCGCTCTGCCTCTCTGGCTGCCACCGCGGGCGCTTTGAACCGTCCCCGACCTCGTGCGTGCAGGGCGGCAGCTTGCACACGGCCGCCCGGGCTGACCTGCGGCAGGGCTTGCGATGCTTACCGTGTTTACGAGATGCAAGTAGAGAGAGAAACGCTTAAGACAAATTCTCAAAGCGAGTTTCTGGCGGAAATACAACAGAGGGCCCAACGCTGGGACGAGGCTCCTCTGACGCCCCATCAGGCGCTCGACGCCTCCGGGCTGCAGGCGCCGGAAGCCCACCCGGCCTGCCCCAGACCCCACGGCATTTCCTTCCAGAAATGCAGAACAGACGCGTCCTTCCAGCCTAGTGGAGTTCAGCTTAGTCGGGAAGGGGGACTGTGCGCCCTCCCCAGCCTTCCAGAACCTTCCCTACTCTTTCCCCTGGCATCATCTCTAAACGAGGGACACCTGCTCACCTTTAAGGGTTGGTGAGGCAGGAGCCTGGGGCGGGGGAGAATGGCCTGGTCGTCCGCGCTGCTTAGCACGTGTCTCCAGTGAGGTCACGGTGACCCGTGTGTCCTGGTACGGGGTTGGCCTCATCTCTTCCCCTGTTTACCTGCGAGGTGACTCCAGTGCGCGAGACAATATACGACGCAAGAAGAAAAAAGCAAAAGAACCCAGTCACACTTTTACTGTTTACCAAAATGTGTTCTGTAGAAATGTAAGCAAACACCGGAAAATGCCAGCCTCATTTACAGTGAACGACACGCAAGACAAAACCACCCGTGCACACCTCTTTCTGTTTGTGAGATGACCGACTCAGAGGGGCGGGGGGCGTCCTAGAGTTTAGGGCTGGCGAAGGGGCTTGGGCACTGGTACTCTCACCAATACTGCTGGATGCTCATAAACTTAACCTCCGTTATTTTTTGATACCTTTAGTTCATGTAGTACTACTTTTGAATGTCTATTCCGTGGAAATAATCTAGCGTATTTTTAATAAAAGTTTCATGCATGAAGACGTTTATTATGGCATTATGTTTTGTAGAAAAATAACCTAAATAGCCAACAAAAGAACAATGGCTTAGGGAAGTAGATGAAATTGTTTGGTAGTATGTTAGGGAATCATTGAAACCAATTATGAAACCCAATAACATGGGGATCCTTGTGAAATACTTTTTTTTTTTAAGCACAATGCAATAGCGTAGGATTATAAGTATGTAAAAATGTTAGTCAAATGTAAGGGCAATAATAATACCCATTGTTGGTTAGGCTGTGGGGAAATTAGAAAAGTTTCCTCGCGGGAATTGCAAAGAGGGGAAATATCTTCTGAGGGCATTTTGGCTACAGATGTGATGGATTTGACCCAATCCCTGTAGAAGTTTATCCAAGGAAAATAAGAACGTTTGTAAACATGTAGTCACGAGGATGTTTATAATGTTTTTAAAAGGGAAAACCTAAAAATCCAAGAATAGGGGATAGTAAATATACATTAAATTATTAAGTAAAATGGATTGTTACGAAGTCTTAGAAATACAACAGAATATTGAGTAATATAAAGAAGAGTTTGAGATTTAGGAAATGTAAAAAAATATGAAGCCGTATGAACTTTAGGAACTTTTTTTTTTTAAAAGTATAAACACTATACACTTAAAATGGTAAAGATGGTAAATTATATGTATATTTTAGCTCAACAAAAAATGGTTTAAAGGAGCAAGAGTAAAAAAATGCTCAAGTGTACAAGTGGTTATCTGTCAGTGGATGTTTTATTTCATTCTCTTTGCTTTTTTCTGTTTTCTCAATGAGCACATTATTTTATAAAGCAAAATAATAAAATGCTTTAAGAAATATTAGGAAAAGGTAAGGAAAGGTATCAAAATGCTATTCAAAAGAATATTAGGAAAAAGGTACATTAGGGAGATCCATTATGGAACTTTTTTTCTCCTTTCCAGATTTTCTGTAAAATGATTATTTTTTCAGTAATATTAATAAAAGGTAACATTCATATGCAGTGAAATGTAAACCATATTGGTAACTACTTTTATCATTTGAAATTGTGTTTTTAAAATGCTCTCTGCAGCTCCTGCTTCCCTGATGTGAAACTGCTGGGGGCATGCCCTTTTCCCGATGCATGTCACTAGCCTGTCACTAGGTGAGGGACAGCCTTACTGTGGTGGGGACTTTTCTCTGCCAGGGGCTGATTCAGGGAACAGTAGTATGTTAGAGAATCGTTGAAACGAATTATGAAACCCGGTAACATAGGGATGCTTGTGAAATACTAATTTTTTTTAAAGCACAATGCAATAGCAATGACTTTCACCGGGGCTGATTCAGGGACTACCACTTTCACCTGTATCCCTTGGCAGATAAGCACTGGGAAGTCAGCGTGGCTCTCGGTTCTTGCCTCTGTAAGCAGCAGCACCAACATACCTTGCACCTGCATGCGCGCACACGCAGTGCAGCTCAGCCAATAAATGCCCTTTCCACATTGTGAGGCTTTTCTAAAAGCATTTGCTTCTTGTATGAGCTAGGTCCTATTCCTAAGATGCTCCAATAACATCTATACCACCCAAGGCACTTCACTTCCCTTGGGACCTCAGCTTTCCCATCTGCAAATGAGGAATCCCTAGCAAAAAACTTTCCTTCAACAGATTTTGTTTTTAGTGCCTACCACTGTTGATGGTAATAATAACCTAACAGCATATGGTAGTAATGATAACAACTAACATTTACTGAAAGTCTGCAACTGACCAGGAGCGGTGGCTCACACCTGTAATCCCAGCACTTTGGGAGGCCGAGGCAGGTGGATCACCTGAGGTTAGGAGTCCAAGACCAGCCTGGGCAAGATGGTAAAACCCCGTCTCTAGTAAAAATACAAAAATTAGCTGGGCACGTTGGTGTGTGCCTGTAGTCCCAGCTACTCAGGAGGCTGATGCCAGAGAATCACTTGAGCCCAGGAGGCGGAGGTTGAAGTGAGCTGAGATTGTGCCACTGCACTCCAGCCTGGGCGACAGAGCAAGACTCCATCTCAAAAAAAAAAAAAAAGTTTGCAACTGTACCAGGCACCAAGGCAAGTGTTTCTACCTGCATAATTCTATCTATTCTTCATGATGATCTGATGCGTGCTATTATTACACCTACGTGGTGGAAGACAAACCCGAGGCTAACAGGGGCTAAGCTGGTCTCCACCCCCAGAGAATGGGAGACTGGCTGAATCCTACAGAAGTCAAATAATCTGTACTGTGGAATGATCCAGAAAGACCCTTGGGGTGAGACTCAGTTTGGATTAAAATCCCTGAGCTGACTCAGTAGGGCTTTGCTCACCACAGTGCACCCAGGTGACCTCCTAGGAATGTTCCTCGGAGCCAGCCATGTGCCTCTGGGCCAGGCCCTGGTTGGCGGGTGAGCACTAGAGCAGGCGTCCCCAAACTACGCCCAGCCCTCGGGCAGCACGCGGCCCCTTGAGGCCATTTATCCGGCCCCCCGCCGCACTTCAGGAAGGGGCACCTCTTTCATTGGTGGTCAGTGAGAGGAGCACAGTATGTGGCGGCCCTCCAACGGTCTCAGGGACAGTGAACTGGCCCCCTGTGTAAAAAGTTTGGGGACGCCTGCACTAGAGGATGGACCAGTGGGAAGGTGACGTGGCTTTCTTCAGGTCTAAGCTCCAGCAGAGAAGTTGAACAATAACCAATACAAAGTATCCAGTACCATCTAGACGTTTATACGTTACATTTCTGGAAACCAAACCCAACATGTCAGTGGATCCAATTCAGAGGCAAGACAGTTTAGGAAAATGATTATAGCATAGACTTGTCTAGCATTTTACATTTTACAAAGTTCCTCCACATAGTTTATCTCATTTTATCTTCATAATTATGCCAAGGCTTGGATATGATTATCAGGAAACAGAGAGGTTAAGTGGTTTGCCCAAGGTCACACAGCTAATAAATTACAATGCCAACCGGTAATTAAATCCAGTCTTTTGACTCCCGATCTGGTGCTCTTTCCACTCGGCACGGCAGTCTAGTGTCT